GGAGTGCGTTGGCAACATAAATTTTGTGAAATACGTCGAAATATTGGAGGAAGGACTCTTGCGACTTTATTCCTCGGGTTTCGTGGACAAGAACGCAATGTTGTTCCAGGAAGATGGAGCAGTGTGTCACACCGCTAGAAACACCCAAAAGTGGCAGGAAGAAAATGGTGTCCAGAAGTTGCCCTGGCCAAGCCAATCTCCTGACATGAACCCCATCAAAAACCTCTGGGCCATATTCGACCCGCAAGGCAAGAAACAACCAAAAAAACCGACTTTGAAGAGCGATCTACTCCAAATTTTGAACAAAGAGTGGGCGAAAATCCCACAATCTAAAATTGACGAGATGGTTCTCACGATGCCCCAATAGATCAACGAAATCTGCGAAGCGAAAGGAAGATGTACTAGATATTAATTAAATTATAAATATATCAATTCATGTGAATATGACTGAAAAAATTTCATTTTTTCTGAAAAGGTGGTGTCTTTTTAATTGTGACAATGCTGTGTATATATGAATAATATATATTATTGTATTGGAAGCTTATCAAGTTACATCAAGTAGTTTGATCATTTACTGATGAAACACAGCTTTGGAAACAATTAGATAAAATGTTTGAATAAGACTGGATAGAGCAAGAATGAAAGATTTTCATATCCTAGTAGACAAAGTGATTTGGTCAGTAGATTGTTAGGAAGTTGCTAGTCAGACACCTGTATCATTGACCACAGGCATTCTGTGGGAGGTTTTGAAGAATTAGGAACAATCCATAGAGCTGGAAAATTTCTGTAGATGTTCTTTGCATTGATGAAAGTGTTTGTGTGTTTACACCTTTTTGGAAACTACAGATTTTTTTTTAGAATATATCATATATTAATGCTTAGTTAGGTTTAGTGAGTACTGTAGATGATGGCAAAATATTTTGATGACTCAAATCCTTATTGGTTGAATGTTATTCTTATGTTTATTCTATCCCAGCAATTCATATGAATTGGCTACTTCATTATTTCTAATTGCAATCGTGACATAGTTTACCATTATCTGTGGTAGTAAAACATGTTTTACTGTTTGATTTATATGAAAATAATGTGGAAATATTTCATATTTTAAGAATAAACTATGGTAATCACATGGTTGTCTTGACGTTAGCAGTTTGGAAGTAGAAAATGTTCAGATTATCTTTAAAAACGTTTTCACCAAAATAATTTAAAAACAAAATCAAAAACACCTTTTGTATGTGTAAACGATGACTACTAATGGAAATGCTGGGTTGTAATATGAGAATATGTTTAAATCTCTTAACTTCTCTCTTGAAATCAAAGAAGGATTGGTATTCAAAATTAAGGTAAGTATTAATATTTGTGATTCAGATGTAGTGTGTTGCATATTGAGGATAGCAGGACAATAGGTCATAGAATTAGGATTTGCAAAAGTCAGAGACATTTCCAACTGAAATGGTTGTATTTCTCCAAGTAGATAGTAAATCTGTGGAACAAATTACCTTCAAGAGTGATAGAGGCTATCACTTATAGGAGTTTAAGAAAAGGGTAATAAATATTTGGGGGATCAGGATTGTATTAAATCTTTCCTTGAACTTTATAAGTAGTGAAATAATTTGATTTATTTTGTCATTTCATTAAGTGTGAGCAAAGAGCACAAACTTTAAAAGCAATGGAGGATAAGGAAGATTCATTTTAATATTGAAAGCTATGGAGGATAAGGAAGATTCATTTTAACTTTGAAAGTGATGGAGGACAAGGAAAATTCATTTTAATATTGAAAGTGATGGAGGACAAGGAAAATTCATTTTAATATCCTCCATAGCTTTCAAAGTTAAAATGAATCTTCCTTATCCTCCATAGCTTTTAAAGTTAAAATGAATCTTCATTATCCTCCATCACTTTCAATGTTAAAATGAATTTTCCTTATTCTCCATAGCTTTTAAAGTTAAAATGAATCTTCCTTATTCTCCATAGCTTTTAAAGTTAAAATGAATCTTCATTATCCTCCATCACTTTCAATAAAGAAGATTCATTTTAACTTTGAAAGTGATGGAGGATAAGGAAGATTCATTTTAACATTGAAAACTATGGAGAATAAGGAAGATTCATTTTAACTTTAAAAGCTATGGAGGATAAGGAAGATTCATTTTAACATTGAAAGTGATTGAGGATAAGGAAGATTCATTTTAACATTGAAAACTATGGAGAATAAGGAAGATTCATTTTCTACCCGCCTGAACTTTTGTCTGTATTGATAGTTTAAGTGATTTTTGTAAAACAATATCATACTTAGTCTTCTGCATCGACAGTATAAGTGATTTTTGTAAAACAGTATCGTACTTAGATTAAGTCTTCTGTATTGAAGTATGTTATTTTTGTAAAATAATATCGTACTTAGATTAAATGCTGGTAAATTTTGAAAGTATGCTGTTCTACTATTTGAACAAAGATCAGATATCACAATGTAATTAGGGGCATGCTCATTGATTTTCTTTAAAAGATGTAGTTTTATTAAGGGCTGTAACAACCAAATGGTTCTTTCCAGGGGGCTTCATTGTACGGAAAAATGAAAATATTCCCAGTTCTCTTATTACTGAAACAACACTAGGGAGATAAAGTAATCTTTTGTTTAAGAAGAGAAGTAAAGAAAATGTTATAATGTAATGCATCTTCATTGATTTGTGTTTTAATATATGCAAACAGGTGGACAATTAAAAATATAACCTGGGTGGTGTATGTGGAATTATTTTACCAAAACTATTTTTCACTTTTATAATTTTTAGTTAAGTAAATTTTTAGCACAGTTTAACAAAATTAATAACTTACAATTTAAACATTGCATATTTTGGTTATCTGTTTTTAGATTTAACTTTGCAAGAAAAACCATTGTTTTTTTGAGTAATGTATTGTAAACAGGTTGCTATGGATATTTTTATATTTCTTTTCATTCTCAAGGAAATGTTGAAAGATGAAGTTCGTACCCTGACTTACAGAAATGCAATGTACCACAACAAACATCTGTTTCGAGGAAAAGTGGTCTTAGATGTTGGATGTGGAACAGGCATTCTTTGCATGTTTGCTGCAAAGGCTGGAGCTTCAAAAGTTATTGGGGTAAATGAATGGAGCTTTCTATAGTGCTTTGTTTAATTTTATCTTGTATTATTTAGTCAGGTGGTTCTAGCTGTGTGGTTAGTGCTAATTGATTAATCATCTGGCTTACTAACCGATTACATTCAGCTCATTGGTTATTCTCACATAAAAATAATGTCCTAACTTCATCTGTGACATTTTTTAATTACACTTTGGGTTTCTGCTTGACTTTTGTGCATGTCACAACTTTTTAGAGTTATGTTGAAAATTTAAACAACTTTATTATCAATCTATGTCAGTTAACTTGAACTTTCTACCTTTTTGATTTGCTGAGATATCAGTAGGGTTGTCAAACCCATTAGAGAAACCTCCTATTTCTGTAACTTGGAATTGTTTGCTGATCAACTTCACATGACTGATAGACATGTTTTAACCAATAGCAAGAGAAAATTCTCCCATATGAATCTGTCTCTTAACTCTTTCAGCATGGGCTTGGTTGTTGGGACCAATCTCATAACCCTTTTGTGCTTGTTATAGATTTTGTGCTATAATTTTTAAATTAGTAAGCGAATGTTAATGGAATTTGGCAGATTATCAGTAAATATTACAATGCTTTTATATGTAAAATATCAAGTTTTTTATTAGGTCTTAAGATTTGTAATGCAATGTTTTTCTCATGCCTTTTTTGCATGTTGCCTATCTAACATGTAAAGTAATTTTCATTTTAAGATTAAAAATACTTTTGTGCAACAGAAAATTTTTAAATTCCACATGCAAAATCTTTATTATGTGCAGCTACTTATGAAACATTTCTTAAGAAAAACTTTATATTCTGTTTATTTTCACTAACAAATATTTGTATGGGTTTGGTTGATTTGACCAATCTTGTAACCATCATAAAAAATTAGGAAATAAATACAAATTATGTGTCTCTCATTCTAGAATGAACACAAACATATATGTTTGGACTAAATAACTTAAGTCTCGAAATATTATATATTTATATGTATTTATTATTTTTATCACATTGACCTTTCAGTTGTGCCTGGCTAACAATACAGAAGTTACAATGATGCGGGACAAGAGCACTGGTTACCGTATCCAATAACATAAAACTGACCTTTGGTCTGTACAAAGTAACTTATCTTGGCTGTGTTTCAGTAGACTGATATTTTGTAAAATATAGTCACATTTCAATTATTATACACTATATATGAATATAGATTATTACTATTTACAAATAAGTTTTTAGACTTATTTTTCTTGAAACATAGAGCAGTGAATAAAGAAGTGAAGCAAACATTTATCTCTTCTAGTTACGACCTTTGTACTCAGTTGCTGCTTTATGTAGGTTGCTAAGCCTTTAAAAATTTTGCTTGTGGGGGACATGAAACAAAATAATTTTTTTTTAGGTTTTATATATATACAATTGAATAACTAAAGATAATAAATTACTACATCAATTCCATAGAATTCCACTATAATTTATTTGGCTCAGTAACTAAGCATTATTTGGATCTAAAAAATATGCAATTTCAAGCAGACTAAAGACACGCCCTACCTCGTTGAAATATTGGTTCAAAAGAAAGAAATGGCATCCAAGCTCATTAAAATGGCTGAGAAAGCCACTAGGGGGACATTATGAGCTTTCAGTTGGTTATTCATGTCGTATATAGAAGTAAATGTAAATAAGGGATCATTTCCAAAAATGGAAAGGGGTGGGTGGGGTGCCACTGTGTTTGATTTATTACATGAGCAATATCTTAGCAAATAGAAAAGGTAAGAGGTTCTTATTTTATGTTCCAGCTTTTAATATCAGTAATTTGAGTTTCTAATTCATATGAAACTATAGTCTTAGTATTTTGACTTCACAAACATATAATTTGAACCAGTGCTGCATTGAACATACAATATAACACACAAAAATCGATGTTTATCTGTTTTTTAATATTTACTTTAAAATTAAGAAACTGAGTAATGTATAGTACTAAAATTTGAATTATAATCTACAGTTTCATACCAAATTTATTGACATAAATTATAAATTAATGAAATAGTAGTTCAATAAAATTTTGAATGCAAGTCAACAAACAAGATGACACATGTGACCCATCTCGAAAGGGTTAATGTCTTGATGTTCCCACTTAGATTATTCATTTTTTATATGTTTCATCCCATTAGCATTGTGGAGCTACTTCTAATGTCAACAGAATTTTTTTCACCTATTTAAAGTTTACTTAGAAAACCAGGTAAATTTAGTACTTCTGGGACATTCTGTTCAAGTGACTTATGTATTGTATGCATTATAGAATGCTTATTTGAAAGCTATGTGATTCTTTTTTTTTACACCCACATTTGTGAGAAATGTTTTCAGTAAAACTTTACACCTTCTCTGTTATTTTCTTTACACGAATGCTATATGGAATTGGTCAATTTGACTGATCTTGTAACCTCCACAGCATAAATCTAAATTACTTTTTTTTTCTAGAGTGACTGCAGATTGTAAAAGTAAGATACAATTTTTTTATCCTAAACAGCTTGAGGCTCATAAAATCTGTTATTTAATTTTATTGTTCTTTCAACTGTTTCTAACTCATCCCACGATACAAGCTGTAAATCACATGGCAAACATGTACCTCAAGTTATGGTACTGAATGATGAAACACACAAGCATACCTTGTAGATATATATATATATATATGTTTTGTTTTTCTCACCTAACATTATTTAGCCTAATATGTTTATAATTTAGGTACTTTTATAAGAATAGATACAAAATATGCATAAAACTAAGATATTTAGTACTTATGTTAGGCCTCTTGTTTTTTGCTGTCAGCCCACTGATTAATCTTAAGCCTACATTTTTTTATTATTATACTGACAGATACATTAAACAATTTTTATTTATTTCAAATATGCACATACAAACTCAAAATAATAACATGCACAAAGGAAACAATGTCCTACAACTAGTATAATTTAATTGACTTTCTTAAGGTATTTCTGTTAGCTACTCAATCTGAACTCGGTGATAGCAACTTTCAGTATGTAGGCAAGAATACATAAAAAATCTCTAAAATAAATTAAAACTGCTTTTCTGTTGGTTATAAATGATGTAATAGCAAACATCATACAGAATTATTGGCCATTTGTGACAGAGAGGATGTGATAGGTGTGCGTGGCAAGTAACTATGGTTTATATCTCCCTAAATAAAGAAGATTGAATACTATAACAAGAGGGAATCTTCAATCTTCTTTAGGCAGGATTTGAGTATATTAATATGAAACCCTTTTTTCCTTTTTATTTACTATATTTTTGTGTGCCAGAAATACCAAGTGTGGGCCATGCATATACCCGATTCGATCTTATTACACATCAGGGTCTGTACCAGCTTCCTATCCTCAAATTCTTTTAGACAGGATTAGAGTAAATTAATCAATGAAACCTTGAGCAGGGTCAAATATGTCAAAGGGTTTGATCTCCCGAGATTAAAATTGTGATTAGATCTCAAATCGGTCAAGAAATGATGGAGCTATCAGATAAAAGTTTGTACTTAAAATAAAAACTCAGAGCCATTTTTTGAGCCGCTATGCCACAGCTAAAAAATATTCTATGCCTTAGTAATGTTTATACTATAATCAGTAATTTATATTAAATTTATTCAGCACATCATAAAGGGGAGGGGTGAAAATTAAAAAATGGGCAAGTCATAGCAAATGCTTGTTACATTAATAGAGAAGGGGAGATTGAGAATTTATTTAAATATTTGCATTTGAAATTAAAACTTATATTAAAATTTAACTACATTTTGATACCAAGTTTATTTGTATACATTGATAATAAAGTATTTTAATTAAATATTGAATGTAACTCTGTGTAAGGTTGTGACATGCACATTTTGACCTACTTATATTGAGAGGGTTAAGAGGTTCTAGATGTTATGCAAATGAAGTTTGAAAATGTTGGATGAAAAAAACAGAGTCTGGGTTAGACTAACGGAAGTAAAATTCAAAGACAAATCTTTAGTAGAAATACTTTATTAAAATTTATTTTTTGTACTTGTAATATTTACTAAAAGTTTACCAAATTTCATGAAGATACATTGAATACATTCAGTTGTAGTATGTATAGTTTCACATGGTGGTTACAAGGTCATGCAAAATATTCAAACCTGTCTTCTTAGGGTTAAGCTAAATTAACATTACATTCTAATTTGGTCTCTTAATATAATGCTTAAGAGTCTTAACATTTTCATTAGTAATCACTTATGTCAAACAAAAATAAAATAAGCTAGCTCCTCCAGGAGTGACCAGTATAGACACCTGTTTAAACATAGCCATAGATTTAAACATACTTAGGTTTGTTATTGTAATGTCTAAAACCATAGATTTAAACATATCTGGAGATAAATTTTATGTGCAAGCATATCTGTATATCATTTTCATTTCTGTCATCATAGGCATTTATATTTTTTATTTTATGGAATTACATTAACTTGTTGATACAGTTTTTTGTCTGTAAAGATTTACAAAATAACTACATATACTTATCTTCTAGAAATCAGTTTCAAAACATATAGGGGTTGTATAGACTAGTCAGTACTAAATATTTCATTGGAAGTAAAACTAGAAAATATTTATTTTATTTGTTAAATGGAAGTTTAATGTACTGTAGTAATGAAAAGTACTCTAATATTTACAGATAGAATGTTCGAATATAGTGGAACATGCAGAACAAATAGTAAAGGAGAACTCTTTAGATAATGGTAAGTCACTTCTGTTGAGTATATTCCTACAATGATACTGTTTATTTGTTATTTATTAGAAATAATTTCTGCTATACACATTGATTTCAGATTGTATACAGAATTTGATTTTTTTTACTTTGGCACATAAAAAAGCATGAGTTTAGATTTGAATATGTCGTGTTAAGTATATAGTCTTAATGAATATAAATATAATCTTGCTGTATATATGTTTAACACTATTTTTTGGTTCCTATGATAAAGGTGAATATAGTAATTGTTTCTACAGATTTATAATAACTAATAGCACTCTTATTCCATATGTTTTTAATAGTATGGTACTGATTTTATTATTTTACTCTTTTGTAGTTTTTCCTTTTACTTTTTTTAAATTAATATTTTGTTTGTGTATTTTGCACATAATGTCAGTGATTTTGTTGTATGTATGCTAGTATTAAGCTTATCTTAAGTGTTAAATATAAAAATGTATTATTAGGAAAAGTGTTTGCTATTTTAGTGGGTTGAGAGTCAGTTTTGGTGATGTGTCTGCTTAATAAGCATTTCTCCAAAGATGTAGCTGTTATAAGGTACGAGTAAAGAGAGGGCATACAGATACACCATTAAACAATTCACAATAAATTTAGTAGTGACAAGAAATTCCACCGGAAACAGTTCTCCTCACAGTATTTGGATCTGTGAAAAGCTGGTGTAATTTTTTTGCTTTTTCTTGGTAATTGTTTTTAATATCTTGGCTATTTTTTCTAAAGATAGTAGCAGCCCTGATCTGACTACTTTGGGAAGGATGAAATATATTGTTTTTGTGGATATGTACAGTCTCTAATGTACTCTTCTTTATTACAGTAATAACAATGGTGAGAGGGAAGGTGGAAGAAGTACACTTACCAGATGAAATAGACAAAGTAGATATTATCATTTCAGAATGGATGGGTTACTGTCTTTTTTACGAGTCAATGTTGGACACTGTCATTTATGCAAGAGATAAGTGGCTGGTAATGAAACTTTTTCTTCCACTTAGTCGCATCCAGCAGAATGCAGGTCACTCTACATTAAACCTGAGATATTTATTTAAAAACTGTTGTATATGCTCTTTCTGTCATAACAAATGTAACACTACCTCATAGCCACCAACAAATGCAACCCCACTTTTTACTTACCATCAAATGTAACCCCACCTCTTACTTGCCAATAAATGTAACACTACCTCATAACCACCAACAAACATAACCCACCTCTTACTTTACCAATAAATATAACACTACTTCATATCCACCAATAAATGTAACCCCACCTCTTACTTACTGACAAACGTAACCCCATCTTTTACTTACCAACAAATGTAACACTACCTCGTAGCCACCAACAAATGTAACACTACCTCGTAGCCACCAACAAATGTAACACTACCTTGTAGCCACCAACAAATGTAACACT